AGCAGTGCAAATATTTTCATAGCAAAAAATGAAGCCAGACACACAGGTGCATTACAGAGGCAGTATGGCTTTGGAGGAGGCATGTGCTGTGTTTCAGTGTAGCAGATCCTTCAAGTTCAGTGGTTCAGGCTGTTGCCAAATGCACGCAGGATATAGAGCGAGAAAAGCTTTGTATAATACAGCTTTTCAAAAAGCTGCTTGAATTTCAGAGATTCACTGAGTAATAGAAGGTATGCCAGATGTAAACCAGTGTATTTGTACTATAGTTAAGGAGGATACAGAAAAAAATCGTGAGCTCAGTGAGTAACAATTTAAAGAGGGAAAGAATCAGAAGTAGACTATATGTCAGATGTTGCCCAGTATCTTAAAAGTCTGTACTAAACACAGGGGCTGAAGAGAGGGAGCGATAGAGAGAGGAAGGAGGGGAACAACCAGAATGCATAAACAGATGGTCACTTTGCTTGGGGAACATTAAATAGACATCAGAGATGCTGGAGGCACATCTGGAGCGGCAGGAAGCTGGGTGCATGGAGCTGCAGGTCTGTGGGATAATTAGATGAGGGTCAGGACTTCAGTGTGTGTGTGTGTGTGTGTGTGTGTCTATGTCAAAAACTCACAACAAAGAGAAAATAGACAAAAATAAAGATGTAGCTTTTAAACACACAATGTACATTTTGCGGCGTTACTCCCTACATGTGCAGTGTCAGATTCTGGTTTCATTAAATTTACTTCCTGGCTTCACCCACAGTTTGGCCTGAGGTCACTTGACCTAAAACAGACCAGTGAATCTGACAGTTACTGCCTCCCTAAGGCACTTACACAGTCTAATAAAGCTACAGTCACTTAAAAGTTTGTAATTATTGCACATTTTTATCAATTATTATCACTGAGAAAAGTGTAGTTTCATTAATATCATTACCAGTATTGCTCCTATTGTTACATGGCTTTGTGTTGGTAGCTGCTTCTTCAATGTAAACCTCCTGTAGATGCAACATGGAAAATGATTGATTTACTTTACCAGGTTTTGCAGGAGGTCAGAGCCTTACAACATACAGTATGTCTTTACAAATGATGTTTATATGACCCACCCACCCAGTGTGCCTGCTAAAGTCAAGCCATATTCAACAGATTTTTGCTCCTTATATAGAGTCAATGCAAACACAAAGATCCTGGAGGTGGCAGAGTGTAGAAGAGGAAGACAACCACACTACAGTATTACCAAAAACAAATGTGTGAGTGAGTGCAACTCTGTCAGACATAATCTGACTAACATCTCTATGAGCCACTGGCTTAGGGTTCTTATACAGCAAATGACCGAAAACAAAGGCCCAAATAAATAAATAAAAACAAGTAAAGAAATAAATTAAAGCCAAGAAAGTCAAGCCAAGACAAACTGCACTGTGATATGCTCTTAAATGATAACATGCATTTTAGGTTGGAAATGAAGGGAAGCCTTCCAATGTGTTTAAAAAGTTGAAACGTTTTGAACATAATCCTATGTTGTTACAAAATGTGGAACTTTAAGAAGGAATGAGTTGAAAGGAGAAAAGCTTGGCGCGTTCAGTAAATAAAAATGAGTTTTCCACATTGCAATGCTGGAGCAGAGAAATGCTTTATATTTTACATAATGAATATTTTCTCTGATCAATTCATTTGTCTTATTGTTTCTTAAATTACGATACTTTGCAGTGGCCCAAAGGAAAAAAAGCAGTAGCTCCCTGGGGCAGTCTGTGTATGTGAACCTATCCACCCCTCCTGCTGGAGGTGGGAGGTGGAGGCCAGAGTTGGTGCTGGTGTCGCTGCTCTGGGTTCCTTGTGG